GCTACACTAGAGAATGGTGACAATCTGGAAAGCACATGCCCTATCTTAAGTATCATCTGTCTCTCAATTCCATGTGATTGTTGCTTTATGGAATACTAGGAAGACCACACAAATAAATCCGCAGGCCAGGTTTCACCCATGGGCTGCCAGTAAATGTAACTTCTAATCTAAATCAGAATAGCAATAGAATGAGAGAAGTGAGATGGTTGGATAATTTACATCCAGACTGTTTTGTACTCCATTTAGTAAAAGTGTGTAAGTTGGTCCTTTTTTTTCCATAAGATAAAGACCAGAATCACAAACATAACATTTATTTATCCTCATGACAAAAAAGCAACTTTGAAATGATAGTTATGTAAGACTCTTAATATGGTTTTGTTTGTAGATTATTGGAAATTGGTATTTTTTTCTTCAATTAAACAACTAGTGCCAGTTTGCTATGTGCCAGGCCTTCTGCTAGAAAGCACTAAAAATCCCGTCTAAGACCAAGTACAAAGACAAGACAGTCTGCCAAGAAAGAGATAAAGGCATAGTCTAAAAAGTTACTAATTTTCGTATTAAGTGGGAAACTAGTTTTTATTCTTTTTGTGTTTTGGTTGAAGGATGAGCTTGTTAGAGAATGAGGGTAGGAGGTGGGGCAGTTCCTGGCAGAAGAAACATATATAGCCAAAACATAAATACTGGGTGTGTTTCAGAAACAGTAAGTAATACAGTGTGACAGAGTCCTACAGTACTTGGCAGGGAGTAGTGCACATGAATATGTAATGCACATAAATCTAGAAAGATAAAATTAAGGCTATCTCGGCCATGCCTCTTATGCCAAATTAAGAAATTTGGGGGTTTTTTGGGGTTTTTTTCCCTAAATTTAGGTCCAGAAATCTTTGAGGAAATCCCTTTTAACAGGGATCACATGACCAGATTTTTATTTCAAATCGGTGTGACATTACTAAAGTAGCTCTGTCCGATAGAAACAGTACAAACTACAAATGCAAACAACATAGTAATTTTAAGTATTCTACTAGCCACACTAAAAAAGTGAAAAGAAATGGGTGAGATTAATTTTAATAATATATTTTACTTGATTTAGTATATCCAAAATATTGTTTCAACAGGAAATCGATATAAACAATTATTGATGAGATATTTTACATTTGTTAGGTGACATCTTTATAATCTATTGCATATTTTACATTGACAGCCATCTCAATTCAGACTCGGCATTTTTACAGTGCTCTTGTTAGCCACATGTGGCTTTTGACTACCTTACTGGACACTGCAGCTTTAGAGCCCACACTATAGAAGATGAATGTTGATGGGAATGAGAATAGAAATGAGAGGAAGAGTATGTTGAGTTAGTCACAGTGAAAAATGGTGAGGGCCTAAACAAAAATAATAACAGGATTGATGTAGACAAGTAAACAGCTTTTAAAAGAATGGCATCATAATGCAGTCTTAGGCAACTTTTTTTCACTCCTCATTAATTCATGTTGACTTGAGTAGCTATAGTTTATATATCTTTATTGTTCTATAACTTACCATAGTAAGTATATACTACCATATTTTATCTATTTTTTATTGCTTCCCCCCATATTTTAATATTATAAATAGTAGCACTATGAGCATTCTTGTGCTTGCCCTATAGTACACATGAGCAAGAGTTTCTCTTAGATCTGAATACTAGTAGACACTAATTCTTTGTAACTTTACTGTAGATACTTTTACCTGGATTGTAGCTTGTTTTAAGTTCAAAAGCTGACTTTGGGTTTTAAAAAATTCTTTCTGTAGTTGAATTTAACAATCTTGTGTGGTAGATTTTTTTTTAAATCTCAAGAGATTCTTCCTTTATCGTCACAGATTTTCTTTTATATTGTCTTTAAATTTTTTAAAGACTCACTTTTTACATTTACGTATTTAGCCCATCTAGACCATTTGTTAAACAGTCCTTGTATTCATTATGTACTACTACATAACAAATTACCTCACACTTAGCATTTAAAATAATATACATTATCTCACAGTTTCCATGGGTCAGGAATCTGGGAGCAGCTTAGGGAATGGTTCTCCATGAGATGCAGTCAAGTTGTTGACTAGGGTTGCAGTCATCTCAAGCCCCCCAGCCATGTGTTGGCAAGCCTCAGACTTTACACTTCCAAGGTCACTCACATGATTACTGGTAGTAATGGGTGCCTCAACATGTGAGTATCTTTATAAATTGCCTGAGTATCCTCCCAATGTGGCAGCTGGCTTCCCTTGGAGCCAGTGGCTCAAAAAAGTGAGAAAAGAAGACGAAAGTTGTGATATCTCTATTACCTACTCTCAGAAAGGACATCCCATTCCTTCTACCATATTCTCTATTCGCTAGAAGCAAGTCATTGTGTCCAGCCCACACTTAATGGGAGAAAAATTAATCTCTACCTCTTGAGGGGAAGAGTATCAGAGTTTGTGGACATGTCTTTAAAACCACCACACTCCTTTCCTTGGCCATCTGCAGTGCCGGCTCTGTTAGATCTGTTTTGTCTATACACACAAACCTACTTCTGGCCTTTTCTGTTCCATTGGTTCAATTCGTTCATTTCTCTTTTCTAATCCTAAATGTGGGTACATGCCCAAGATTTATTTCCTTGCCTTCTATTTTCACTCTGTGTATTCATGCACATTTATGCTGAGTATACATTCTTTTATCTTTACCTATTAACTTAACTGAAGACTTCAAAGGTGCTATATTACTTATGTGCCAGACATTACTTCAGACTCTTCATATCTGTTACCAGATTCCATTTCATGTATCTCTTCTTCATGGGGAAAAAAGAATTCCTTGGTAATTACAATCCTGATTATGGCTGGGTTCAAGGTCCTGGATTAATCTATAGGAGGCATTATACCACTGTTCAACAGTATAGGCTTCTGGTATCAGATTTGCACTGAATTTTATCAGCTGAATATGTGTGACCTTGAGCAAAACAAAGTCTCTGCCCTCTTCAAGTTTATTTTACATCCTAGGGAAAAACAGACAAATTTTTAAGTACAGGCATTGGTAATTACAATAGAGGAAAAATAGAGCAGTATAAAGAGAATAAGTAGTGTGGGGTTGAGGACACTATTATTCAATATAGTGTGGATAGGGAATGGCCTCTCTGGTAGGGTCATATTGTGACAAGGAGCTGTGAAGTAGGAAGTGAACCATGTACTGTCCTCCCTTATCCTCAGAGAAAACATTCCAAGACACCCAGCAGATGCTGTGAAAGCACAGATAGTATGGAACCTTATATATTCTATATTTTAAATATAGTAAGAGATTAACAATAAAATAAAACAATTATAACTATAATGTAAATGTGGTTTCTGTCTTTCAAAATATATTATTGTATTGTACTTACCCTTGTGATGGTGTAAGATGGTACAATGCCAGTGTGAACTGAGGTGAACTGAGGTAAATGACGTAGGCTACTATTGACCTTCTGACTATATGTAACAAGCTCTTTAAGGATTCTCTTTGGCATATCTGAATTGTCAACATTACCACTCTTGAGGGCCATTTAAGAAGGAATGAGTCACATCCCAGGTAGAGTAGTATGGTGCAGAATTTCATCGCACTACTCAGAATGGCTTCAATTTAAAACTTATGAATTGTTTATTTCTGGAATTTTCCACTTAATATTTTCAGACCACAGTTAACTGTGTATAACCGAAAGCACAGATAAGGGCGGACTACTTTATTCCAGGCAGAGGGAATAGCCATTGCAAAGGCTCCGAAGGGGATTATTCGTGTCTTTGAGGAATAGCAAGGAGACTGTTTCATGAAAAGAGATTTGGCAAGGGAAAAGGAGCATCATGAGGTCAGATAAGGGAGGGATGAACTTTTGTTTTTATTCAAAGAGAACTAAGAAGGTATTGCAGAGTTTTGAGCAGGGGATAAAATTTTCCATCATATTTTTAAAAGATGACGCTAGTTAATATATTGATAGTAGACTGAAGTAGGGGCAAGGACAGAAAGAAGCAGGAGAATCACTTTTGAAGGCTGTTAGAATATAGGTCAGGCAGGAGGTAATGGTTTAGATTAGGATGTTGTGATGGTGGTAAGAAGTGATCAGATTCCAAATATATTTTTAAATAGAGCCATCAGCATTTTCTGAAGGATTGAGCTCTTAGTCACTATATCATATCTGAGTTTTTTTAGTTTTATGATGTAGAAAATTTAGAATATATGAATAGAAAAAGGGATTATCTTTTGTATTCTATTCAGAGGTGACCACTTAAAATTTCGATGTATAACCTTTCTAGTTTTTGTTGTGTGAATGCATAAATATAGACACATAACACAATACAGTGTTCAAACAAACTTTATATGCAATGAACACTTTTCTGTATCATTATATATTCTCCAGCATTTTAATGACTGAGTAATGTTTCATCATATGAATGAATTGTAGTTAATTTGGTTGCCTGTCAACATTTAGGGTGCTTCCAGTTTTTTTTCCTGTTTATAGATAGCATTAGAGTATCATTACATTTTTAAAGCATATGTATGGTTAGGAAAACAAAATGTAATACCCACAATGAGCTTATTATAAGGCTGAGGCCTTATAATAAGCTCATAAAATAGCATCTCTTTGTATACAGTGTCTTGGCTTTACAGTTACCCTTGGATTCCAAGTAACCGCCAATTCACCCCTTTTTATTTTAATACTAATAAGACTTCCTCTGAATTTCATACTAATATTTAGTAGATACTTTGAGCAAATGTATTTTTATATGGGTTGGTATACTAATTGTTATATTCAGGGGAAAACAAAACCACATTTGTTGAGAGTTGCAAATTTTTAAATGTTTTTCACCATCTATGTTTAATTTGTAATTAAGAATTTCTGTACTTTCTATAATGTTATATATTTCTGCGTTAGCCAGTTTTTAATAACCAATAATTTAAGGTTTGAATGATTCGTGTTTGAGGTATAGTAATACTTCTTCCTTTTTTTTTTTTTTGGTCTCACTTTGTGTAGATTGCTTCTATCTTTGCTTTTGCCACCTGTGGAGGTTTTAAGGGCAAAACAGAAATTCTAGTGACTTGTCCTCAAGCTTCTGACAATAAAACAATTATAGCTACTTTTGGTTATCCATTCAGGTGAGTTATGTTTGTTTTTATGGTTTAATTGACTCTTTTTACTTTCATATCGACTCATTAAGATTTCTAGCAATTTATTAATCTTGGGGGGTTGAAAATTTTTAAACGCATCTTCATTTGTATATGGTGATCATTGCTACTCAAACTGTGCTACATAGACCAGTGCTTGTATGCAAACTGTTTTCCTGGTCTGTGATAAAATAAGTGTAGAATATGAGAGTAAGCATTTAGAAACTTTTATATGACATTGCCTTGATATTTTTATTCTGTTATCCCACAGTGGATTAAAAGTTTAAAAACAAAACAGAGACTGCTTCATCACTGTAGTATGAGAAGCCATGATGTGGAAGCCAATGAAACTTAGGAAAAATCCAAATTTCTCATGTATTTGCCATTACTAAAGAACAGTTTTATATAGTTTTAGGACAACATGTATTTATACGAAGTGAAGAGTTCCTGTGCTTATTTCACTAGCATAAAACTTTATTTTCTTACTCTCAAATTAAAATTAAAATTTTGTTTCTGAATTCTTCTATTTGACTTTAATATTCGTTGAACAATTTATTGAATGTGTCCAGTGGTTAAGCCAAGGTATGAATCTTCTACTTAACTACTTATTTGACCTCCCTAGGACTCAATTTTTCTGTCCAATATATTGGAAATAGTACTTTCTGAGGTTGTTTTGATGATTACGTAAAATCTTACATTAAAGATATGTCAGATAGCAGGTGCTTGGTATCATTGCCTCTCCATCTCCCAACCTTTCTCTTACAAAGTTCCTGTAACAAGAAACTATTACTGCATCTTTAGTGATAAGTACTCTAGGGATTTATGAATAGGGAAAATTAAAGACTATGTGAAGTTAGCAGCTATTTAATCCAGAGTTAAAATGTGAATCTTTATAATTGGCTCTCCTGGTGCTAGTACATAGCCTCTGTCTCTTAGAATGGAATATCATGTCTCGAATACTAAACTATTTTGTATCAGCCCTTTTAATCTGCTAAATTTTTATTGCAGAAAAATAGTATTGGGTTTGAAAGTGTTTAATTCAGTCTATATTCAATTTATCACAAATTAGTTACCAAGTATATTTTATAATTCATGTATATATCTTATGAATATTCTCATTTTCTTAAATATTTGTGTTCCCTTTTTCTTCCAAAAGTAAAATGTTTTCAGTATATTTAGGGAGTATTTTTTGAAATATCATTTCAATATTCTGTCTATGTATATCTCTGTTGGAAGAGTTGAGGTAATTCATAAATTAACTTGAGCCTTTTTTTAATAGGTTGAATCAAGCATCATTTCAGGCATTTTCACATGTTAATGTGTGTGATATAAATTGGAAAAGTTATGTCCTTATTGGAGATTACTCTTCTTCTGCACAATTCTATGTTACATTTGCAGTCTTTGTCTTCCTTTACTGCATTGCTGCTCTTCTGCTCTATGTTGGTTACACAAACCTGTATCGGGATAGTCGAAAACTTCCCATGATTGTAAGTAATAATTTTCTTTTTATACAAAAATTATTGGTATAAGTATGCATTATATTTGAAGTTAAGTTAAGTATAGATTTTCTTACATGGGAAATAAAAATTATTGACATAAGCCAGTTCAACATATTTTGACCGATGTTTGCTATGAGGTTGATCTTTCTCCTATTGTCATGTTTAAGCCGATTCTTTTAGCTTGTTTGCAGCATTTTTTTCTGCTCTCTAGGGAGTGCAGAGGTTTGTTTCTAACTGTATTTTCACCTGTGATAGAGCATATTAAGTTGCAGGTAACAGAGGAATTTAGTAGAAATTAATGCCTTTGATTTGAAGAATTGCTGACTCTACTAGTGCTTTCATAACTTTGTTCTTACCTTTTCTCTCTTGACCCCTTTTATACCTCTACAATGTCATATTGAGCTTAATAGTCTATATCGGGAATCAGCAAACTGTAGCCTACAAGCCAAATCTAATTCATTGGTTTTTTGTTTTTTTTAATTATGTTTTATTTTGGAACACCATACCCAATCATTTACATATTGTCTGTGACTGCTTTCAGGCTACAGTGGCAGAGTTAAGTAGTTGTGACAGAGATCAAAAATATTTACCATTTGGCCCTTTCCAGGAAAAGTTTGCCCACTCCTGGTCTAAATTCCTTAGTTCCTTAATCTAAAACCTGACCTAGATAATTCTATAAGAATTATAGAATTCAGCATTAGTGGCATTCATGAGCTGATTTTGAAACTTTGAGATAGCAACAAAGGATTTGGATTTGAAGTCCTAATACTTTTCTTGGCTTCAAAGTCTGCTGAGCTAAAAATAAAAATAATCTCTGATATTTAGTTAGTAGAATCTGCCCTGGATTCTGGGCGGCAGATCCAAAGGTAACTCATGGTTTCAAGCTGGATCTTTACTACAAAAGAGTAAGTACAAAGTCAGTAGTAATGTTACTGACTCGAAGTGAGACCAAGGGTGTTTTTGTGATACTAGTCATTAATATCTTGAGAAAATACTGACATATGCTAATTATTCATGATTTTTAAAGGGAGGGCTATTTAAATATGAAGAAATTATCAAATAAGAACAGGTTATATTTACTTATTTATTTTTAATTTTTGCTGCCAGGATCATAAGAATGCAGATGGTAAGAAATAAAACAATCTTTTATCATTTATATTTATTTTGTTTCTTATATCTGAGAAAAGATTCTTAAACCTGACATTTTCATAAAATATTTCTTGGTTGTTAGGTGCCTTTCAAAAAAGCAGACATCAACTATTTAATTTGCAATGCTTAATCAGCAGAAATTACATATTAGGAATCTGTAATTTCTTTAGACTTTTCAAGCCTTATTTTAAAAGGAGCTATAATGTTAGATACTACATTTTGTTAAAATTATTTATAATTTAAATTCTAAATGAAGACATTTCTTGCCATTTTGTCATTATCCCAACAAAGTTTTAAGTTAAATTTAGCAGTGAGCCTTTTTTCTCATATTTTGTTTAGTAAGCTTTAAAATTACCATGCTTTAAAAGCAGCATTTAAAAAATAAATAAAAAATAAAAATAATAAAAGCAGCATTTAAGTCTATTTTTTGTAGAAGGTTTTTTTGTCAATAGAACTTAAAACTGATCTAGTTACATTATTCAGGAAGTCAAAGTGATTTTTCACCTCAATGATCAATTAGTGGTCATTTAGAGAACACAAAATTAATTCCTTAAGTGGTTTTTTATTGATATAATATATAATGGATGCTTCTTGTTTATAAAAGTCCAGCTTCTAAATTTTGAATTCTTTTAATTTATCCATATAAATGTAATAAAAAGGTTTTTTGAGATACCCAAATTTTAAAATATAGCCAAATATGATATTGATTTTTTTTTTCTTTTTTTTTTTTTAAGTACTCTTCATTAATGAGGACATGCTTTTATTTTAGCAATGTTCTCAATTCTCTGGTAAGGTATTTCTAGGAACATTTCAATTTCGACATTTTAAATCAACTCTAGTTCTCTTTTTTTAAGTAAAGGTAGCACTTTTTTGTATTGTGTAACAGGAGCTTAAGGATACTAGGCTATGTAGATAATCAGAAGTACCATAAACGAACCAAAGATAGGGTATCCCAAGTCATAATAATCTGTTATGAATCATATCCTGATTATTGGTAGGACTGGAGCTGCCACAGGCAGCTGCAGGTTGTACACTGCAGAGCTCCAGGTGTTCATGGTACATCTTAACTAAAGTCCTAAGTAGGACAAACGCTATCCTCAGAGGCTCACATTTCCCCCACCTTTCCTCATCCCAGGGTTACTTTGTGCATCATTTTCAGAAAAGTACCTGCTTTTGAAATTATAAGAATGTCATGCTTTAAGCCATCAGCAAAGTAGATTTAAAGGGAAGAGAAAAAACAGCACGTTGTTTAATCAGAAATTGGAAGGAAGAAACCTGAAAATTAAGAGGATTTGCCATATATTGGTCAAAGCTATGAACTTCAACCCAGAGAGAACTTGTTTAACATGTGATAACCTCAAATTATTTATTAGTTCTCCAAAAGGCCTTGTATTTCTAGCAAGTGTTTAGGAAATGTTTACCTGCAACAAAAAAGTGAAGAAGAGTACAGCAGCAAAAAGGGGGAGTACCCTTTCAGTGCAGAAATTTAAGCTGTACTGTTTCTCTCCTTTTCTCTTTGATGTACAGACCAGTAACAGTAGAGAAATGAAATGCAAAACGCAAATACCTCTATGTTTATAAAATTAGTCATATTGTTTTTGGTTCTCTAATCAAAAGACATTTATTCAATTCCATCTTCACCAGATGAACAAACTATATATAGTAGTTTCTATATCTTATAAGTGGTCACTGGCGTTTATCCTAAATAAATAACTAAAAGCTGGTTGGCAAAAGTAATTAAAAACTAATCAAATTTATTTTAAAAACAAAATGCTTCTGTGATAGTTACAGAACCCATATTTGAGCTTGGAGAGAGTTTTTCTGCTGTTGTGTACAAACTCATAGCCTTAGGTGTACCCAAATGGTCAGAATATGTAATATTAAAGGATACAAATTTTACATTTTTCTCACTTTGGTCATTAATTTAAAGGAAGACCAAACAAGCTGGTACTTATACTACTTTATATTATACAAGTGTATAACTTAAAAAGTGTTATTTAGATCTTTGTAACAATACTAGTTGACAGAATTTTTGTTTCCCAGTAGAATAAGAAGAATAAATATTTTTTTCTTTATTTTACTAGTTCAATAAGAAACCATCCAAAATATTAAAAAAGTCAGTCCTATTCTTGGAAATGTAATAAGTAGTAATGACTTCAGTAGAAAATTACTAATAATAAAGCATCTTCAGAGAGATTTCTCTTTTGTTCTTATTATAAGCATTCTTAAAATTCAGTGGTCATGAATTTAAAAAGACAAATCTTCGTGGTGGATGTGTGCTTTCCACTGTTTCATTATCCATATCATGGAGAATTAGGTTTGACTAAAGTTAGAGTTTTGCCAGAACAATAATGACAAAGCAGGGGAAGGGAGTTGAGAGTGTATGCAAGGGATTATAATGAAGGACCTTAGAATATAAATTAAAGAGGGAAATGAGAGCACCAATGAGGTTGAGAGACTGTAAAAAAGTGGTAAGATTAGATTGTAGGTCTTGATAGGGTTAGATGGATATAGTCAATGGAGATTTTTGAGGTTGGGGTTCCAGAGGGGGCTGGAAAGAGAAGTGATATTGGGGTGTGGGATGATTGAAATAGAGTTTATGGAGGGATGCAGTTATTGGTGATAGTGGGGTCTAACGTATGATCTTGGGAGTGGATGGCATGGGTATGATGATCGTGGTGAGGGCTAAGTAAAACTTTGATTGTTAGTACAAATATCTTTGACTCCTAAAGAGATGGTTGAGTCTAGTGTTGTAGCTCAGGCACTGGGCTAGTAATAATAAACACCAATGTTTGCTCTGTTGACTGTGGCCTTTTTTATAAAGTACACCATGAAGGCCATTTCGTAGTACCATAGGTTTCAATATGATCTCAATTCCTTCATCATGGATTTAAAATTTAGTGTTTTTAACTTAACTGTTCATTATTAACTCTTACTTATTTTCGCTTTAGGACTTCATTGTTACTCTTGTTGCCACTTTTTTGTGGTTGGTTAGCACTTCGGCTTGGGCTAAAGCTCTTACGGACATTAAAATAGCTACTGGTCACAGAATTATCCAAGAACTTGTGCCCTGTAATCAAGAAGTGAAGTGTTATTTTGGCTCTGTGACTAGTATGGGATCCCTAAACGTATCTGTGGTATGTATGTAGTATTTATAAAATGTTTTATTTCACTTATTAGAAAAACTTTACTAGTAATTTAAGAAAACAATAGCTTTTAATAATCTCTGGGTGAATATGTCAGAATCCTACATAACATACAGTTTTTATAACAAAGAAAAGTTTGTTAAGAAATTAGGAAACAGATTATAATTCTTTTCTTTTCATTAAAATTGAATAGGCAAGACTTCTACCTGAAAGGCACTAATAGTAGTCACTAACATTTATTAAGACTGTATGCCAGGCGTTACACTAAAGACATTACCCTCATATATTAAGTTATTCAACAATCCTAAGAGAATTGTGGGAGGTGGTATTATTATCTTTATTTTACAACTGGGAAAAATGTAATTCATGTTACTTTGCCCAAGTTGACACAACTAGTAAGTTGGCAAGCCAGAGTTTGAACCAGATCTGACTTTGGAGCCCATTCTCTAATCTGACTTCCTCTGAGGCTATGAAAGTAATACTTTTATGGTTTGTTAAGTAATCTAAGAAATTAGGTCTCTATAAATTTATGTATTATTTCATCTACTGTTTTACCAAAATACAGATAAGTATATTGTTAAGTATAATATTAATATACTAAGTATATTATGTTTAGGGGGGGTCGCGTGTCTTTTTCAAGAAAATATTTTTCCAATGGATGAAGTCAGCACAGCCTTTTAAAGCAATTTGGCCAAATTTCTGCTTTATAACTTTGTAATTTAAAAGTCACTCTTTTTGCATTTATATTAACTATCTGAGATGGACAGTATGAGAAATGTTGTTTTTGTATGCAGATATATGAAAAGATACAAAGCATGTGGCCTTCAGTAATATAATACTCAAAGCTTCTTATCCCACTCTTCATTGTCACTATCATTTTTATATTTATAAAATATAAAAATATATTTATATTTCTCATAAAAAACTATAAAAATAGGATAGCTTCAGTTTATTCATCTCTGAGACTTTCATCTTGTCAGATTTATACCTGAGAAGACTTATTTCTTTTTGGTTGACCAATGCAAGATGTGAAATAAAGTTCTTCTGACTCCTTTTCTCTTCTGGCTGCAGGTGTTGGAATAGTATGATAGTAGGGGGCATAAAGTAGAGAAATAGGAAAAGATACACAAAAGCAGTTTAAATGGAAGGTTTTAGTTACTTTTCTAAAATGTAAGTCCATCTTTCGTTAGTAATGAGTATGCAAAAATAAGACTTCTTTAGGTGTGATTTTATATGTTTCAGATTTAGAGGTTTCACTTTATTTCATTGAGAATAAGTCATATATCCAAATTTGTCTTTGAAATATAAAGTCTTCCTTTTTTATTCTTCATCTGTAGTTTAAACTTTAAATGAAACCTGGAAATGTTAAATGTTTAAAGGAAAAATAAGATGGGTCTGAATTTTTAAGTAAATATTAGATTTTCATGTTTATTTTTCTCTTTCTTAGATCTTCGGCTTTCTGAATATGATACTTTGGGGAGGAAATGCATGGTTTGTGTATAAGGAGACCACCTTACACAGTCCATCAAATACTTCTGCTTCCCATGGCCAAGGAGGTATTCCACCTCCTACTGGAATATAATTAAAGGGTGAAGTACACTGTTGAAATATATATCTATACTATGACCTGTTGCCAACATCTTGAGAAGCATTATTTGTTTCCAATAAAAGTAATGGCTTTTTCAACAAATTGGTGGGTTTAAAATTTTGCTGCTTTTTTACATAAAGCTTGTGTCTTTCCTAGAAATTTAAGATGTAAATGTATTCTCACTTGTAAATTTGAAAATTCAGGGGCCTATTATGAGATGATACACATTTTTAAATGAACAGTAATTTTTTCACTAAGTTGTTTGCCTTCCAAAGTGTTTACACCTTAAGCCTTAACATATATCTTCACTCAGAAGAGTTATATTGTCATATCATAATAGAAAATCTTTATTTGGAATATACACTACTGTAAGTTTGTACAGATTGTATACCTAAGACCTGTCTTTGTTTAAGAAAGCCTTGATTACATAAATCATATTTAGAAAAAACATTTTAGTTCAGAATTTATATCTGAACATTGTTTGTATGTTATGAAAATTTTTTAATTACAAAGACTAGGTGTATGTTTTATTTCTGTTTTTCTAAACAATCTACAGTACTTAATAGGTGTGCTAACATTGTTTTGGGAGCGGAGTTAAAAATTTCTGATAGATGTATAGTTATTTTAGTAATTCTGTCTCATGAGGTGTAAGCCTCCATTATGCTGGTTGTTTAATAGACTTGCTGTATAAGTAGAAAGAACATAGTTCAATAAGATATTTTGATATGTACAGGCATTACTCCTAGTGATATTTGTTTCCTGTCTTGATGCTCATGCCACTTAAGTGCAGGCTGAGATCTAGTCTCCTTGTAAGTAGGGCTAAAAAAAATTAAGATTGCCTTTTACTTTTGAAACATTTAACACTTAGATTCAATGAAGTTGCTATTTTGAGTTTGATATTGTGACAATAAGTGGGATTTGGATTTCATGTTTCTTAATGTTCGTTCTTCACAAATTAAGGAATTATGCATCATAAACAAGGAGCCTGAGTGAGCTGTACTGTGGGTGTACTGTCTTTGCACACATATATTTAGGAATATTCTGAATACAGGGCTTATTCGCAATTTGCTTACTAATGTTTTTGTTCTACAAGGCCAGATTTCTATTCTTAAACCACATGATTGTTTATATGTGAAGCATATATCTTGATATTGCCTTGTTTTTGTTGATTTTGTTCATGACAAGAATTGTCAATATGAGAATGTATATCTTTTATGCAACCAACTTAATAAAGAAGTTAAAAGGAGTGCACTGATTGTTATATTACAAAGAAACCTTCATCTTAAAGTCATGAGCAATGCAAAATGGAATTCCCAAAGCAAGAAATAGACTATCATAATAATTCTTTTAAATGTTTGGCAAGGAATAAAAGAGACAAAATGCTTTGGAGATCCTTTTTTTTCTTTAATCTCATTTTAAAAATGCTTATTTGTAACTTTCAGGTTAAGTTTTCCTGATAAACCTTTTCTAATTGACTGCCCATTCAATTAGGCACAAGTTTCTTGATTAAGTGTGTATGCTCTAGAGCCAAACTCTCTGAATAAATCTTGGCTTCACTACTTAGTAAATTAACTTTAGGCAAATTACTTGCCCTCTATGTGCCTCAAGTTGCTAATCTGAAAAATGAGAGTTAGAATACAACTGACCTCAAAGAGTATTTATGAGGATGAAATGAATTAAAAACATAAAGTCCTTAGAAGCAATGTTCAGCATATAGTAGGTATTTTGTAAATGTTGACTATGATTACTAACTTGATAGCATCTAATATAGAGAGACAACCTGGGTGGAAGGGGCAAAGATAGTGGTCTTAGGCAGAGAAGCAGGATAAGCTTTAGGATTACATGGGTCTCCCTTTATATTTCTCAGCGTCCAGGATGTTTTGGTATCTATTTTCCTGGTGGTGGATAGATGTACATAAAATTAATGACATTAAAAGTTAATAACTAATGAAGATTACAGTAGATCTAGAAAAGAGTCCATGTTTGTTGCCTTTTCACTCCCTGATTTTGGGTCAACATTATAGGGTTAAGCAATTTATAGGATAATTTCCAGCATGGAAGCAATCAAAGCTTTGAACTTACTAGGTGACAGGTTACAGAAAATTATTTGTAAACATCATCATTACTCATGTTTTTGTGAATTGAAGTCACTTGGATAAAGATACTTAAAGTAATTATTAACCTATTATAAATGTTATGGACAGTATTGCTCATTATGTACTTCATGTTTCACACTTCATTTTTATAATTTTAGTTACGTGGTATTTCAGATGAGTATAAGCAATAATATATCACCAAGTCCACACTACTAGGTTGAGCAGATGTGAACTTTTTGTTTTCTTTGTGTCATATTTGCTTTGGTTTTGTCTTTTTAAGGAAATAAAACAAAGATACAGCCTTTTCCTTACTGAAGTACAGCTAGATTTCTTTCACCTTTCGCTATTACAAACAGCACTGAAATAAATATTTTTGTGAAATATGTGAATGTACTTCTCTAGGACATATTGCTAGAAGTGGAAATGTTGGAATGTGAGATATTCACTTTCACTTGTAACTTAGGTATTAGAAAATTGTTCAGTAAAGCGCTTGTACCAATTTAGCCTCCCGCCAGTAATATGTAAGAGTCCCTGTTGCACCATATCCTTGCCAATACTTGATGTTACTGGACTATTGCCAATCTAATGAGTTCGAAATAGTGTTTTGATGTTTTTTAACTTTTATTTCTCTGATTGCTATTGAGGTTGGTGATCTTTTTCTGTATTTATAGGACACTTACATTTCTTGTACTCTGTAATGCCTATTCATCTTCCTTCGTGGTTTGTGCTTTTTGTGTCTTAAGAAATCCATCTCTTCTCCATGTCGTAAAGATAGGCATCTCTGTTTTCTTCTGAATATGTTAGTTTTGTTTTTCACTTTTTGGTCTTTAAGCCAGTTAATGTAATAACAGAGAAAACAGAATGATCTGTGGTTCAGCTTCTGCTAGGCAAAGAAGTACAGAATATTGTCATGAGAGCAGATTAGCCAGGTAGGGAAGAAAGTGAAACCAGAAGAGATGGGGAGAAAGAAAGGAGACTGACCAGTAGTCTTGGTAAATTCAAAGAACAGGTGCATTGGAAATTATCAGAATGACGAAAGTGAAAAAGATGGCCGATTGTGGTCAGAGAGAATTCAGAGGGACAGTTAGGGTAAAAAGGCATAGGGTGTGGTTATGAAGGTGAGTGAGTAAAATATAATGGCGACAAGGAAAAGCAGAATACTCTTCAAGTTCTTGAGAACGATATCGTCATTGAGTCCCTGTTCATTTATCTGAGATCTCTACTAGGGTCATATAACCTCCTTCTCAGTTCTGATGATAGGTCAACACGTCCTATAAAAAGGCAAACTTATGTAAATCAATTTCTCTGTTTTTTGAAAAAAAAATTAGTAATGGTTAGAAAAGCCTTTTTATTCCTCATGTAGGATAACGGCTTCAAATTCCTTTCTGTTGTAGACAAAGCTAGTATTTCAGGTCTATCTAGAAGTAAAGGATCTACATGGTACTTTTTGTCAATAGGAAGCAATGCTACTCAAACTTTAATATGCATACAAATCACCTGAGGAACTTGTTAAAATGTGGATTCTAGTTCATTAGGTTTGGAGTGAGGCCTAAAATGCTGCATTTCTTCTGGCTCCAAAGTGATGCCGATGGCTGCTAATCAGTGGATGAATCAGATTAAATATTTTCCTCTCTAAAATCATGATCCTGAAAAGCACAGCCCATTTGGAAGTGATCTTATCAAGGAAATGAAGCTTCAGCAGAACCAATGATGAATTTGTCATATTAATGTCCTGGGATTATAATGGTGATGGCTAATGGTATATGATAAATATTCAAAGATGGTAGGATGTGACAGATTCAAACTCTACCTTGAAATGGAAATATATGAGGAGATTCTCATCTACTAGAATAAATGAATTTAGAAAGGTTATAGCATACAAGATCAATATACAAAAATAAATTGTGTTTCTACATAAAAATATTGTTACAATGGCATAAAAAAATATTACTTGGGGATAAATATGACAAAACACTGAAAACTACAAAACACTGGTGAGAGAATTTAAACCTATATAAACCTATATAAGTTGTACCATGTTCACAAGTCAGAAGACTCAGTATTAAGATGTGAATTGATCTGTTGATTCAACACAACTCTAATAAAAAACCCAGTAGGCTTTTTTTAAATTGACAAGCTGATTCTAAAATTCATATGGAAATGCCAGACCTCAGCCAAAACAACTTGAAAAAGTTTCAGGGCTAACTACCTGATTTTCAGGTATTATAAAACTACAGTAATCAAGGCAATGTGGTATCAGCATCAAGACAGACAAATAGGTCAATGGAACAAAATACTGTGTAAAAATTGACACATGTGGATAATATTTTTTTTACAAAGATACATAGTTCAGTGGAGAAAGGACAGCTTTTCAACAAATGTTGCTAGAACCATTGGTTATCCATATGCAAAAAACAAAAACAAAAAAAACCTTTGATCAGTACCTTGGCACCACATATAAAAGTCAACTCAAAATGGAACATAATCCAAAATGTAAAACCTACAAAACTAGAGAAAAAAATAGAAGATACTTATGACCTTCGCTTATACAAAGATTTCACAGATATAATACTGAAAGCACAATTCCTAAGGAAAATTTGATAAATTTGAATTCATAAAAATTTAAAATGTCTGCTCTTTGAAAGACTGAAAATAAAATATTAAGTCCAATAGTGGACTTATATCTAGAATACCTAAAGAACTCAAAACAAAAAATAAAAGCAGGCAAAAGTTTTGACTAGATACTTCACTAAAAGTGTGCACATTTGCACAGTGAAGTAAGCACATGAAAAGATGCTCCACGTGATTAACCATTACAGAAATGCAAATTAGAACCACAATGAAATACACAACCATTAGAAAGGCTAAAATTAAAAAGACTGACCATACCAACTGGTTTTTTTATTTTTATATTCCCATCCTTCTAAACCCTCCCCTTTGACAACCATCAGCTTGTTCTCTATTTGTGCGTCTGTTTCAGTTTTGTTTATTCACTTATTTTGTATTTTTAGATTCCATATATATGTGAGATCATATGATATTTGTCTATTTCTGACTTATTTCATTTAGCCTAACATGCTCTAGGCCCATCTATTTTGTCGCAAATATCAAAATTTTATTCTTTTTATTGCTGAATGATATTTCATTGTATATATGTACCACCTCATCTTTATCCAGTCATTTATTGATGAACATCTAGATTGCTTCCATATCTTGGCATTATTGCAGTGAACATAGAGGTGCGTATATCTTTTTAAATTAATGTTTTTGTTTTCTTTGCATAAATACCCAAAAGTAGAATTGATGGATCATATGACAACTCTCTTTTAATTGTTTGAGGAATCTCCATACTGTTTTCTATAGTGCCTGCACCAATTTGCAATCCCACCAACAGTGTATGAGAGTTCCATTTTCTCCACATCCTCACCAACACTTGTTTGTTGATTTATTGATGATGGCCTCTCTGATAGGTGAGAGGTTAGCTCTCATTGTGGTTTTAATTTGCATTTCCCTGATGATTAGTAATGTTGAGCATCTTTTCATATGTCTCTTGGCCATCTGTATGTCCTCTTGGGAGAAATGTCTATTTAGGTCCTCTGCCCATTTTTTAAATGAATTGTTTGGGGGTTGTGTGTGTGTGTGTGTGCGTGCGTGTGTGTTGCTTCTGTTTGGTGTGGAGTTATTTAGCTATTTTGAATATTAACCCCTTATCAGATGTATCATTGGCAAATATTCTCTCCCATTCAGTAGGCTGTCTTTTTATTTTCTTGATGGTTTCCTTTGCTGTGCAGAAACTTTTTAGTTTGACACAGTCCCATTTGTTTATTTTTTTCCTTTGTTTTTCTTGCTTGAGGAGATATATCCAAAAAGATATTGCTAAGAGTGATGTAAGGGAGTTTACTGCCTATATTTTTTTCTAGGAGTTTTATGATCAGGTCTAACATTTAAGTCTTTAATCCATTTTGAGTTTATTTTTGTTTATGGTAGGAAAATGATCCAATTTTATTTTTTGCATGTATTTGTCCAGTTTTGCCAGCACCAATATTGAAGAAATTATCTTTACTCCATTGTATATCCTTGCCTCCTTTGTCACAGATTAACTGAAGGAAAGAAACAGAAACTTTATTTAAAGAAACAATGGCTGAAAACT